CAATTGTGTCTTATCTATTATCTTTACAGAAATGGTGAAAAATCAATGCACGAGCATTATAGATATTGAAAAAGCTATATATATATATATATATATATTATCTCGATTTTTTAAGAAATGCAAACACTTCGGGATTTATATATTTAATGATTTAAATCTTCTTTCTTTAATACCACGTAATAAAGTTTCCAGAGCAAATAAACATTTTCCTTTTATAGTATAAAACGCTTTACGTGCCTCTTATGACTATTTACTGACTATCAAGGGAAAATAATGATAGTCTCGATCCATTTTTACAAGTGTTTTACAGCGATCTCATTATTTCATTTTATCCAAATCGTCTTTATTTATAAATGGCATGCGAGAAAAATCAACGTGTCACTTATGATACATTTTTCGCTTATGATACACGCTTATCACAGCTCAATATGGCTGAGATGAGGATTCAGGAGCCTTAAAAGATATGGGAAAAGTAGAGTGAACAATAATAAATAGACAGTTTCCAAGAAAGCTTCCAAGGGATGAAGGTCAATAAGTAATCTCTTACATCAAAATATAATATCCAAATTTATTGCGCTTTCGAAAGGGATTGGCTGCCCTTCGCAAGATAGAAATCCTAGCAGCTTTATTCACGTCAAACCTACGAGTTACAATACGCTGTAAAAAAAGGTATAAACAAAAGTAGAAAAAATCTCCCGAAAAAACGCATAGGTAATACAATGAAGTCGCTGCGTACAGGCATTGGCGAGAGGAAAAGGGAAATATGCGAATTAATAGTTATGGAATGATTTTCGGTGAAGCGGCAAGGAAAGCGGATTATTCTTACGAATAAATGAAGGATTTACAAACTGAAATCGCGTAGCTGAATAACTGCACGCTAATTCATGTTAAGTGCATATTCGCGAGTGCGTAACAATTGAATAATAACGTACTTATAATCCAAAATTATTCGCGAAATATGAAACGAGATTGTATGTCTTTACATGTTTAGATTGTGGAACTAAATAAATACTCACGTATTCGTTTAGTACAGTGAAATTTTCGTTTCCAGAATTAAATTGTGTCTTGAACTATATTATATTATATTATATATTGTTACTTATTCATAAAGAAGGAACATCTATTATTTTAATACTTATTTCGTTAAATTAATTAATCATATTATTAAAACTAAATACATATTATATATCACGCTAATGTGTGACCTTTTTTATACATAATAAAGTTCCATCTGTACAAAAAAATAAATAGCAAAGAGAGTGAGATTCAAACTACGTTCAAAACTATAATTTCAATTCCAGATGTATAAATTCACTGTTCATCCCAAAATATTTTCTCTTGGATTAAAATCTTGAATTCTCTTGAGTCATTGGATTTTTATAAACCCATGATATTCATGATTTCTCCAGATCTTTTATCATAAAATTTTGAAACCGAATTCCTTGATGATCAGAAAAAGGCAAACTGTCTGCTTCGCGAATAATGCACTTTGTGAAAATTCAAATGCTGTGCATTCGCGCGATTAACAATGAAAATAATAGGATGATCATCGCAACGAAGCTATGATCGATGCAAAGAAAATCGCATTATTAAGTATCTGTCGTGCTGAATGTTCCTAATGAATCATATAATAGCAATAACGTGTTAATGGGATTTTAAGTCAGAAGTCCCGCTTCCGTGGTGTACGTTTAATGTTAAAGATCATCTCATTCTCGTTGCAGATAATCAATGTGCAATTTAAATTTGCTAAGAGAATGAACAGTTATGCTGTTATTTAGATTATCATAATTACAGATTATCATTTTAGCGTTAAACGTGCCTCACGAATACAAGTGGTTCTCACACGTTGCTCAGAATTATCACGTAACTAAAATGTAAATAATGCAAAGGCGATATCTTAATTTAGATTATGTATTCTTATCTTTTTGCACGTATGCGCGTTTTACACGATAATTCCCGAGTTTACGTTATATCTTCGGACATCGAATAAAATGAAAATTCGTGATTTTTGATAGATGAAAATTTTTCACAAGCTGAAGAAAAATTTTAGGGACTGAAATTTATAATAATATTTAGAAGACAAAATAATTTTCTTCTTGAAGAATATTCTCACTCAAAAATAGATTCATCAGATTTTTTTTTTACTGATAATCTGTAATTATCAGTAAAAAGATAAGTTAATTTCTCATTCAAAATATTAGAGATTATAAGTAACGGTTTAATAGAAGAAAAAGAATTTAATTAGATACGTCTAGAATTGACATACAAAGTCTGTTTTTTATTCCTATACTCGAACTCTCTTTCTTGCTTTTGCCAAATATCAAACATGTGCCTATCTCAGTTTAAGTCCCAAAAGTGTACACGAGTTCAGCCACAGAAAACAAATCTACAGACATCTCTGCACCGCGAACGAAGATATAACTTATTAATTTAAAGCGAGAACCACTAACGCAGGTTGATGTTGTGTGCTTATCACTACAATGTTTTAAGAAAATATCACCTTACGCGCTAATAAGGCCTATTTTATGAGTTTTTTACAATAAGCTATTACTTAAGCTTAAATCTTAAGCTGGAAGGAATTAACCAGTCACAGTCAAATGTATGAAGAATAATCGAGTATGATTGATCAATTTCTCACGTCTTAAAACTTAATGCTTAGATAATGGCTTATTGTAAAAAGTCCATTAAGTATTACGTCTCCATTCTACGTCGCACGTGTAGCACTAAATAGCGGGTGTCGTCGTTTCGAGTTCCGCGATCAATGCATGGATCAAACAATTGTGGATTATCTACCGTTCCATCTACCGCAATTTGATCCACTCAATATGGGTAACACGCAAGAAGGAGTAGCGTTTGTAATACAAATATACATGATGAGATTCGGACGGTCATTCCTTCTAGTTACAAATTATTAGTATTTGCGCGGCACGAATGCGGAAGCCTGGAAAATACCTAGGATTAGCTTGCTCGTTTATCACATGTGATAACGCACATCGGCGCGTGTGCGGGGTGATGATTTCCGCGTTCCCTTAAAAAGTAAAATCGTCGGATCCTGTGTAAAACACTCAGTTACAGTTACTAGCTTGTACTCTAATTTAAAAAAAAAAAAAAAAAACCGTGCTACCGTAAAATCGTACGGGAGGCGAAGTTTTTTCTCGTAATTTTTTTTTTGTGTGTCTTTCTCCCAGAAGAAAGATTAAACGTCGCGGACGCTTGAAAATCTCAACCTGAATTCTCCAAACGAGATTTATCGAAGTCGGATTTTCGAGTGGATTTTCTCGGATCATTAAACGATCGCGGTTCTCCTCTGAATTATCGTATCAATCAATCGAGTCTCAGAATCATCCCTCAGCAAAAATTCCTCCATTATAATCTCTAGATCCATGAGACTTCGGAGTTTTAAACGTGAGCATTAACGACGCGATTCCTGTATTCGCAACATTACGAAGAGGACGGAAGGGAGGAAAGGAGTTATTACATAGACAAGATTAAACGAAACGTTTTTTTAGCTCAAGTATGGAGGAATTCGTTTTTCGCTTTCCGCTACGATTTCAACCACTATTTTTTCTTTCTTCTAACGTAAAATTAATTTTTACGTCACCTGAACAAACTCAACGTCCGCGACAGGAGGCACAAATTAACTTCGAATATTCATCGCGCGAAAATGTCAGTATGACAATCTATTTAACAAATATTTTCTATATTAAATTAGCATCACATTATTTTCTATTGGTATAATAGCAATGGAAAGAAACGATAAACGGGCGAAATGATAAGAAATGACAATTACGCAGTCTATATTGTCCAACATATATCGCCATCATATATCATTCTACGAAATATATAAATTGTATATATTTCACATCGAAAAAAAATTTACCAAATCTTAATAAATATTTTTTTGCATAGTACTAAGCAAACATTTGCTTACAGTAAATAAATATTTACTGAATAAAAAAATAATATTATAATTAAATTTAAACGATAGTTGAATGAAATGGTTTTTAGAACAAATATGTTTTATTTAATAAATATTTACTTAGAAGTCTCAGAAACCATACCAGACAAATATTTATTAAAATTTAGTATTTTTCTTCAACGAATATCAGTTTGCGGTATGGAGTCAAACGGGAATTGACACACTGTCATGTTTCTGAATCTCGACTACTTTTTGATCTGGACATTTTTGTTTTTATTGTGAAAACATAATTATTTCTAATAATCATCGGTGTGAATTATTCGTTGATCATTCGTGTATCTACGGTACATACGAAATAAACAGAGTATTATGCAACGACGTCGCACGATGAAATTGAAATCGTCGCGAAGAAAGTGAGATGTCACAGGAATATCTAATAAACGGTTCTGCGTTTCTGCGAGATGTCTTTATTGTGTCGTCTGCACGAATAGGAAAAAATTAAAAGAACACTCTATCTGGCTAGTCATCGACACGAAAACTGAAAAACAAGAGAGAGAAATCGTGGCACGTCTCGCAATAAAACACAGATATAAGACACGGAGAATCACATATATCCAGAGCAGGTTTAACGACTCGCATATGGCTCATGTTGTGCTTCCGCCGTAAAAGACCGCAAAATATACGCGCGCGCTTAGAATACCATTTTGCTCGCGGTTGAAAAGAGAAATCTTTACACCCCTTATTAATCTTTCACACGCATGTATATCGAGGATTGATATGAATCTCCGATTCTTTGAGTCCAGCGGAATTCAAGTTTCTCGGATTCATAATTACAATTTGGTTCTTCAGAAATAAGAATAGCTCGTAAAGAAACCATATATGTAACAAACTCGAGGATATTCTCAGATCTTACGTGATTTGGAGCGTGATTGAAGTCGGAGAGTCAAGCATGTAACTTTTTCTCTAGAACGGAAAAATAAAAAGTGAAATTTTTTGTATGTATATGTGTGTGTGTGTGTGTATATATGTATATATATATATATATATATATACATACATATTAAAAATATTTCACGTTACAGCTCTAAAAAAAAAGTTACATGATCGATCTAAGACACTTTGAAGCTCAAATCTCAAGTTCAAATCACTTGAAGTTGGCAGTTCGAAATTTGATTCCAATGTTCTTAACTTCAATTTAGAACTTGGAATTCTCGAATAGTCTGAAAATCAAAGTCCTAAATCTTCAACTACTTAGTTTTGGCTCTCATCTTTAAACAGTTGAAATTCTCAAAATACGATCGTAGTACTTTCGATAGTTCTTGAATTCATTAGTCCCTCGAGATTCGATCGACGATTGTTATCAGTGAAGTCGCGGATAAACATTGTTCTATGAATTGTGAAAGCGACGTGTTTTATTCTTGATGATGTTCGCGACAGGAAGAGACTAACAAACTGGGGAATTCGGCGCAGAACGAATTTCGCGGTTGATTACATCTGGGATTCTTGATATCGCAACGAGTTATCCCTCTACGTGATATCGCGCTTCGAATGAAAGAAATATTTCCAGGCAGTAAAATAAAATATTAAGAATGGATCAGAGGTAAGGTGGGTTATCTCGAGTCGCTGAAATTATTTTATACATATATATATGTATACAGACCAGTCTATAACCTGAGTCAAATTTTAAGGAGAGTGTCGTACAAGAAAATCGACTTTCCAGTGTCTGTCGTATGTACGAGCTTGTACCTCCGGCTGGTCATCTTGTCGAGGAAGCTCTTTGTCTCCGCCTCGCTGTGATGAGGACTCCATCGTATCGACAATATCGATATTTTTATGATGTCCCACGGGATGGTGTCGAGTACCTGCGATAATTTTCAATTGCCCTTACGACAAGCCCTTACAACGCTTGTTACCGGCTTTGTATTTTTATAACTCTCCGATCGATCACAATTCTAAAGCCCATACATGCTTTTCTGCTTTTCAATCGCGAAATTATCATGTTACAATAAAAAAAAAAATACAATATTTCTGAATATTTCTAAATCTAAATCTCGATATCGTTGTAAAACTCCATCTATTTTTTTAATGAAGAAAACGTAATAAATATGCGTAATGAAATAAATAAATATCCTTTTATATATTATATATATATATACTTTTCTAGACGCGAGAAAATAAATGTAAAAATTTTCAATTGAAAAAACATTGTAAAAGTTATATATTTCGAGGACTCTAGATTATTAAATTTATGTTGTTTACCTGACCATCGGGAGCGTCAGGACTGTCAAGACTTAAGTAATCCAAGATCGTGGCATTGTACGCTAACAGCACGCTGTAGAGAGGAAAGCACTTGAGTCTAGTGGTAGGAAAACCGTCGTCCGACGACACGAGGCTGTTAGGACCGTCGCCTAGCTTGGTGACCTGGACCTCCGATTCCTGATGGTACTTTATCTGTAATATACCATTCATGCGCATAAGACATGTATTCTTATTGCGTTCGATTCATCATCACCCTCCTTCATGATGACCTTTCACCGTTTTCTCACCTCTTTGGTATCCGTGTCCGTGCTGAGACAGGCATGGAGGACCCTCGATCGCGGGTGTCTGGTACTTCGTTGCGCTTCGAAGAAGCTCTTGGGCTCGGTAAGTATCAAGACACCGCGCCAGTTCAGATTAGACTCCAACCAAGCGGTGCTGGAAATCGCACCTATCTGAAAAAAAATGATGACATCCGACGATGACGGATTTGCGGGCCTGAATCGTGACAAGGAGGTAAATTGACCTAATTCCCGCCGGTCTAATTCCCGCTTCCAATGAATAAGATGAATTGGAAAGAGCGAGGAGAGATAGCCAGCTCATCTATCTCGTTCATCTATTTTTAACTGGTTGCGTGCTGACGGCAATCCATTACTTTTGCGTGTTTCGCTAATGTTACGGTGTACTATCACGGGCGATAAAGAATTGTTAGCGCAGCCGTGCGGTATCTAAAACGAACTTTCAAGACTGCTGAAGCACCGGTATACTTGGCTCTAATTTAATCCAAAACTTGATTAGATGCAAGAAAGAGGGCGGCATATAAGAGAACGTAAATTTTCATTCCAAGGGGATTTTATTTTTTGAAAAATATGCTCGTGATACTTTCATATTATATATCGTACTTTACACACACAAAAATTCATAAAACCAACATAACGTAAGCGTAACACCAACATATGAATTAATTTGGAAAATTGTAATTTTAAGCTTTCGCAATGCCTTTATAGGATGTACCAAAATTGCTCGTTTTAATTTCAATTTTAATTTAAAAAGCGAGAGAAGAGAAAGAGAAAAAAAGAGAGTTTATATTTTCCTAAAAAAAAAAAAAATTTCATGGGGAACCATCATTTATTATAACTCTTCAATAATTACTTATAATATCTCAGTAATATTACATTAAAACTAAAATTGAAATTTCTAAAAATTACTTGCAAAACGCGGTTATTTAATTACGAAAACTTTGCTTCACTGAAACCTCATCATTTTCAGCCACTTACACTTGGAAAATTGTTGATGCTCCGACTTTTTAATTAATGAAAGATCATCCAGAAATTGATCGAGTAATTAAGGATTTTAGAACATCCCTCGTAATACCATCCTTCATCGTAAACCGTAAGTTTCACGAACAAAGATATTACACCGTCACATTAGAAGGATGAGACTCTCAGTGTGCGCAACGGTGACACGTGAGACATTAATCACACTCCCGAGGGTTGAAACGAAAGATTCCTCACCCTGCTGATGTACTCTGCGTAGATACCCTCGCGTTTTCCCTGCGACAAGGAGGCCACGTACTTCTCCTCTGACGTCTGATTGGCATTCAACGGGTCCTGATGGGTAGTCGGTTTCAGATGCACTTGCCGTATGTACGCCACCAATTGCGGATTGTCCATCGAAACGCTGTCCAGCACGTAATCTCTGGTCATGTTCGCGTCGAACGCCTGTCTCCTGTAACGGAACATCCACTTTAAGCTACACCAGTGGTGTTCAATCTTGCATAATCTGGAGCTCGATCGTGTAACCCTCTCGTAGTAGAGTAAAAAAGAAGCGAAGAGTATAAATTTCCACACGAGCTTGCCGAAATCCGATCGCTTCTCTATAGTGAATCGCGAGTCGCCTGCAGGCTTTGCGACGCAGAACGGTGGGATTTTACGTACGAGATAAATGAAGGATTCGAAGTAATTAAAAATACTGAATAATGAGACTGCATAATGGTGTCAAATATTTCATAAAAACTTAAATCCACACATATCTCTTATATTAATTTATAATCACGAGAATCAGCATCAGCTTTTTAAATATCAGGAATGAGCTTGGTCAAAAGTTTAAAAAGATTTACAATAATATCAAAATAATTTTAAGAAATCCATATTTTCCTTTATCTAAACAAAATTTTTATTTAACGTAAAAAAATAAAAAGCGACAATTTTTACCTCAAAGCCGCAGCCTCGCTCCAGACAAGAAGCAGAACCATGGCGGTGGAAAAGGCGGCAAGAAAAGCCAAGCAGGGAGCTACTCTCCTCCACCAGGTTCTTTTATAATTGGCAAACGACGTGCCGGTCAGTGTGGGCCCTACAGGCGGTGGCAAACTTCCATTTGATGAAGGTGTCCCTGCGGGAGCCATTCTGTGGAAACACAACGAATGTGTAAACACGTGCTGCATGCAAATCACGGAAAAGACATCCGTGACGAGTTGCAGTCTCGACAGCTTATTGACGCATTTCACGTATTCCCGACTCTATTCAAAGGTGTTTTTAAAACTCGGAATTTCGGCAGCGGCACGTAACACCTTTATAATCCCTTAATTAGAATTTCAAACATCCATTGTGGATCGTAATTTTTTTCTAATTTTTCCATTAACTCAAGTTAATCTAAATAAATATAGATTAAGAATGAAAAGTGTCATTTAGGATTAAGGGCCGGTTATTCCACCTTTGGGTAAATTTTACTTGTTAAATATGTGACTGGGTAATCTTGCTAGTCAACAGGTAAAATTTACCCAAAAGATGAAACAACCGGCCCTAAGATATTGTGGGAAGGATATTTATTGAGCATATATGTCAATAAAACCTCTTTTCTTACAATTAACGGAACAGAAAGTAAAAATCAATAAAAGAAGAATTTATATATATAATTTGAGGCTAATAATTTCGAGGATTTCACGGGTGTTTTCTTTAGAGATACCGAAGGGTTTGCGGCTCAGTTTGCGGATTATCGTCGTGTCATAATCCATTGTTAATGGCATTAGCAATGGATTACGACGATAAATCCTTTGATACGTCTGAATATAATTTGAGGAATTTACAGCTTGAGATTTATCCATGTATCTTAAAATATTTAAAAATTGCAAAAGACAAAAGATTTCTAAATTTCCTTTGAAGATATTAATCTCGAAATGATGTTCCACAAAAGAAACTGCAATCAAACAGATGGGATACCCTGTAATGCCGCGTGACATGCATACAGGTATGAGTCACCCTGCACTTTCTAACCAGCATTTTTTCAGTCACGTTCAAGTGAATGCACGCCTAAGGATTCAAGACACAGGAAGACCCTCATGGATCAGATTATAATTTGTTTGTTGCCGGTTATGTGTCAGAAGCTACTATGCTGAATAAAAATTTACCTCTTTTTTTTAACTTTTTTTGTTCTGGAACATATATATATATATATATATATATATATATATATATTTATAGATTAACTTTGTATTGTATTTTTCATTTATTTTATGATATATCCCAGTTTGATAGAAAAAAAAAACAAAACAAAACAAGTGCGTAAATATTTTTATATATTTTTCATCCTCTAAGTTATTGAACAATAAATATATTATTTGCTTTATAAAATTGAGATAGTCTAGTAAAACGAAATAAATGTTATATTGAGTATTAATTCTATGATATAGAAAAACATTCTAATTCAAGTAATAAAAATAGGCCACCGTAAATCGGCGGGATCTCCTCTCATCGGAATTTACAGAAATAGTTTTTTTCTCGGTGGGAACGCTGGATAAAGTCTACATGTGTTACGCCATGCAGAACAATGTCTATTCCGTTATTTGTCTCACACCACACAGTTAAGCAAGGTTTGTCAGTACCAATTTCGCATCGTTTCGAAAGCATCGGGAGGTTTGCACTAATTTGCTGTAAAACTTTTAATAGAGACAAAGATGCGTTCACTTCATCAAATTTGCTTATCTAAATTGAGACGGTTCTTCTCAATCAATGTTTCGCGGCGTATATTGTGAAACTTATTCTCTTGCATTCTTCGATTAATCAATCTAGTAAAGTCAGTTTCTTCTCGTAAAAATCATCAATTTTCGAATTATTGAAAATAATCAAGTCTCTCGGGGATTACATTTCGGGAGCAATAACTGAAGCTTCATTTGTTTGAAAATTTTTATTTTAAGAACTCCACATTCACTATTTTAAGCAAATCTCGCTTTAACATAGTTAATGTTAGAAAATGAAAAAGAATTGAAAGTTATGGAAATATTTTTTCTGAGAATTCAAGACAGCTTAAGTTTTTCCAGTTTGAAAAATCAGTTTACAATTTTAAGAAAAAACTAAAGTAAATTAAATGTGTGATTTTATGATTTTTACTTGCTAATAATTAATAATAATAAATTAAAATAAAACAAATCCAATAATTCATACTACTCGATTATCCTCTTCCTTCTGAGCTAAAAAAAGTCTCAACTCTAATTTGCCGTGTCTAAATAAAATCCTACGTAAAATCCTGTATCTAAATAAAAGGCTACGCCCATGTATCGAGTAGTCATTATTTTTATTTTTTTTTATTTTTTTTTTTTTATCAATATTATATTTCTCGTGTAAAATATAACTGTATTTTGAAATTCTCTGACTTTTCTGTCCTTTATATTGACGAAATATAATATATATTTTTTTTTTCCATCACTTTCTTTGTTTTCACAATTTATTCACTCTCTTTTAATGAGTAAGAAACGTTGGTAATTCTAATATTAACGAAGCTTCCACATTTTTCACATGCATTTAAGTTCAAAATTCCACGTAAAAAGCGAAATTCAGTCGAATCATCGATGAGATAAAATCAGACTCGTTAAAGGATCCATAAATGAAGATCTTCATTACCCTTTATTACGTAATTCGCCGTTGTATTTAATTTACTCACTTCATTTTCGTCGGCCTCCGCTTATGTCCCTTATCCGTGAGATAGAAACTTGAGGACCATTTAAGTATCTCCCGTTCGTGATAAAACACTCACTTTTTCGCTTCACAAGCGCTTGTCATCCTCCGCGCGTAAGTTCGATTGGAGAGATTAGGAATCGCAGCTTGCAGCGATTACGTCTTCGAGTTCCTCGACACAACACGCGACCACGCGTCTCACGTATCAAGTCTGACGTCTTCCAAACGTCACGAATTGTATCGCGCAGCCACAATATTTGGTAGCGCCGGCTAAACGTCGTGTCACGTGGGTTCGACCTTCGCGGCGTGTTGTCGTCTTCGACTTCGTCGTCGTCAGTGTTGTGTTGTCTTGGTGTCTTGCCGTGTCAGATCGTTTCGCTTTCCGCCGCTCGTTTCGCTCTTCGCCCTCTCCTCCGAGAGAGACGCTGCAACGGAAAGATCTTTCTCACGTCGACGAACGACAGGAGAGTGATCAATCGAAGCCCGAAGCTCGTTTCCTCGCGGCTCCTTTGTTTTCGCGGCTGTTTGTTGTGGATGTTACGTAATGCATCGAATATCCGGTGCAATCTCCCTCCTCGATCAAACGGAGGGCTCAAGATATGTCTTTCTCAAGATACGTTTCTCGGTAAAAAGTTGTGTGTCTACACAATTTTCCGAGATACATTCGAATAAGCTCCTCTCCTCAAAGTAAATCGAATGATTTCGGAGTCTTCAAAACGCAGTCGGATTTTCAAGGATTTTCGTAGATGCTCAACGTAATTAGACCTGCAGCAATTTTTCAGATAAATTCAATTAAACAATCGTCAGATCCTCAACGGTTAAATATCCTTTAATTGCTCTACTTGTGATTTACGAAAAGAAAATTAAGTCTCTCAAGAAGGTTGTAAATAATTTAAACGATGTTGGTTGGTTCTCGAATCTCCTTGGATGCAGGACCAAATACTTCAAAGAACGTTCACTGCATTCCCTCCTTCATTTCTTCGTTCTTCTTTGAGAGTGTACTTTTTTTTTCTTTTCTTTTTTTTTTTATCTCACGGCTGTCCCCTAGAAGGATTCTCCTCGTGCTTCTCGATGCAGCTGGATTTTTATAGAACCGAGCCCTTGAAGTAGTTATATTCACTGCGGTTCCCTTCTCTGGATCTTTCTCCTTTGCTCTCACCCATGTATTTATTGCAACGACGCCGCCTCGAAGATCTTCCACGTGTTTGTCGACACGAGCGGAATTCTCCGCGTGATTGACATTCCATGAAATATTCGATGAATCGACCCGCTTTTCTCCCTCGGCTACGCGAACGGAAATCGCTGAAGGACAATCGCTGTCACTGAAATCAATCGGATATTCGATGCAGGCACGAAGCGATCCGTCCCGCAAAGAATTCCTCACCGGCCGAATTTCTTTCGCCTCGGAATATTTTCCCCTGCTGGAATGCACTCGGGACCACTGCCGCGGGGATTCCCCGGCGAATTCCCGACGGATAGAGGGGATCCACAGAGACGGTCAGAGACGACGGCGGAATCGTATCGGCTCGCTGACTGCCGGCGCGATTCGCTCCTTCTGTCTCCTCGGTCGCCGACTTCTTCGTCGATCGACATCGAATTACATATATATGTGTATATATATGTATCGATTCGAGCGAGAGACAACGACCGTACGCAAGAGACGGGCGGGAACAAAGAGATAGACGGGAGACGCGGCGCGGCGCGACAGACGAGCTCACGATGAGCGTTCCGCACGCTTGTGGCGGCCGAGAAAGCGTGTGTGTCGTGTATATTATGGTCGAATGTCGCATTGCAGCGACGACGTCGGCGACGGCGACGGCGACGACGACGGTGATGAAGCCCGCTGCCCTGCCGCATCTGTCGTCGTCCGTCCTCGTCCCACTCGCGTCCGATTCCGCTCTTTGCGTTTCTTCACTCGGGACTCGGGACCTCTGTTTCCAACAATGTCGATGTAGGCCCTGCTGCGCGACAGACGGCGAATGTGGTGTGCGAAAGGGCGGAGAAAAAGAGTGGCGTTATTAGGCGGAAAATGATCGAGCGGCGAAATCAACTTTTAAGGCCCGATGCTACCAGTGTAAGATTAACGTTAATCTCGATTCACTTTATTCTCTGTCTTTTTCCAATCTTTTTGCTCGTGTCTACCATGTGGTTTAATTTTAATCTCGGTTCAACTAACTCTTCATTTTTTCCTAGTTCTAAAAAAAGATGAAAAGTAAGTTGGACTGTAAGATTAAAGTTAATCTGTATATATTGGTAGAAATATATATAATTCTAAGAATTTTGGGTTTCACCAACGGAAGGTTAACTTTAATCTCGGTTTAACTTATTATTACCGTTTATCTTTTTCTAATTCTAATTTACTCTTTTCTAATGCTTAGTAAATTTTGAACTGAGATTAAAGTTAATTTTACATTAGTGGAACCAGAGCCTAAGTGGGATGGCTACAGCACTACTGGTTTTCTTTAAACCTAGTTTCGAAAAAGGAAACTATAAATTATTGTCCAGATGCTCGGAAATGAAAAAAAGCTTAAAATTTATTATTTATGTAATGCAGATTTAACTATAATATAATATAGTAGTAAAAAATATAACAACTATAAAATAGAAATTTTTTGGGATGTTCTGAGCATACTACCAACTTGCTTTAAATCACCTAATACTTGTTTAAAAGTTAAAGAAACTTCATCGGTTGAAATTTCCTCAACCTTATTGTTCATCAAATATTACGAAAAACGGAGATTTTTTTCCTATTCACGTCAATCATGTTATGCAAATCAACAGCGTGTGTCTACAGTATTGGAATTTTCGATCCGAGTTTCTATTGTTTGGAATCGTAATATTGGGAAATAATGACTACTGGTTTCAAGTCGTTAACTCGGAAAAAATTGGCGAACTTGCCTTTACGTCTCTCGCGTGATGGATTTGATTGGAAGCAATAAGCGTGCATTGGTGCGCACAAATTGACTAAATCCGTACGCTGATAGAATACAAATGATTCGACTGATATAATGGTATTCAACTGATACAACTACCAACGTAAGCCATTGTCGTTTGACAAAATTTCTGCTGACCGTCCCAGCTATCAAAACACTCGTAGACCATGTTTACCTAAATACTCGAGTACTTGGGTAAATTTGTGCACGAACAACTTATACAGTTCACCAGTGTGTGTGTGTGTGTGTGTGTGTGTGTGTGTGTGTGTATGCGTGCGTATCAGTGCATTCAACCGAATTTACTACAAGTATAACCAACCGGGTTTTGCTGGTAGATAAAATATCATGTGAAGCTAGCCAACTGATAGGTTTGTTTAGCTTTCTGCACGCTATCTTCGTTATTCTTATTTAACAGAGTCGCTCAGTGTAATTATACGTATATTCAGAATATAGAGAATATATTTTACGAAATTTTCTAAAGCTAAACAAAGATTTTTTTTAATGAGCGCGGATACAAATAATACTAAAAAGTAGCATCCTTTAAGCTTCTAGACGCTCAATATTATTATATAATTATTTAATACAATATCATTGATGCTCTCTTTAATTATAAAAGCTTTAAATCAAAACAAACAGGTTGAATTAATTGAAATTCTGGTTAAATTTATTCTAGTAGATTTTAACCAGAAATCCAATATACTTATAACCAGAATTATATATAGATCAATTATTTTTCACCAGAATTCCGATTAATTCAAATATTTTTCTTTGTGTAATAATATTGAGTGTTTAAGAATTGCTTAAGTGTAATATTGGCCAACAATTTTTGAAAATTTATAGAGAGAAAGTTATATTTTTCATAAAAACCTGAATATATCAAAAACCTGAATATAATAAAAAGAAATGTTTATGTATTTACATTATGCTAAATCAGCGTCCATTTTTTTATGTAAAAAGTTCGCTGTTTTAAATCAATTGAAAAATAAAATTTCCATTTATTTACGTAAATAATATAATTCAATTTCCGATCATTTCGAAATATTTTAAAAATAATCGCTATTCTTTTTAATTTCTACTCTATCTACAAATCACAAGAGAGAAAGTGCGACAGCTCTTCGGTCTATATATAGTACAGAATTGCTAATAGCACTACAGTGTGATACGATGTTTACAGTAGACTTGAACGCGTTATGTTACGTTTCATCAACTGTTTCCAAATTACATGACTGTACCGCGATAACTTATCTCGCTGAATTAACGACGCAATGATTCATCTTCATTACCTCGTATATTTAACGAAAGTGTGCATTCCCTTAGGTAGTACAGAATGACTTGAATTGACTCTGACTCACTGAGTCAAAACTCCGCTTATACTGAAAATCGTCCTACCCTGGAGGTTTGGAAATGGGATTTCTGAACTGTAGGTACGGCAAATCACGCCTCACTAACTCTTACGCGAGACTTGCGTGAACCACATTGCACATGCACTAACACAGACACAAGTCCGTTTCACCATCGCTTTACTACGGAACACGGGATATCCATCAGCTTGGGGAAAAGATCGGCGCAGGGGAAATCTTCAACTTTAACTAAGAAAGAGAGACGTCCTTCTTCTACCTTTTACCTTCGCCGCCGCCAGAACACCTGGGCGGTAGACCTCCCTGTATCTTTTCATTATTACACATCGTGGCGATTGCGTAGACACGTTTCTTTTTTTTTTGTCGTCAAATCGTGCGCCCGAATACGAGCAGCTCTTTTTCCGCGTACCTGAACCCGCTGCGGCCTATCCTTTCGCGTCAGTCAGGATCGGAACATCGTCCATGCAAACAGGTTTCCCTCTCGGCGGCGCTTGTCCAGCTCCTTTACTTTCCGCTCCCCGCGGTATCCCCGAGGACGACGGCGAGCGGATCGCTCGTGATGACTCGACCCACTGACGACGGAGTCGCACTGCCACGGTGTTTATGACACTGCGCGGAGATGATGACACGCGAGAGTACCCACCAAGAGGAAGTTCTTTCTTTCTCTCTTTCTTTCCCTCTCCTCTCGCCAGTCTCTCGTTGGCCTTCTTCTTCTCCTCGCCTCCCACACGCGGAGTTCTCTTGTGGAGAACCTCCGTGGAAGCCGAAGTAGACGGACGGAGAGAAAGAGAGACGCGATACGTCGCGGTTCACACTCGCGCGACCCGTTCACTGCCGTGAGATGACACCTGAACAGGTCAACTGCGAAAGAGGAAGCGCAGGCAACTTACTACTGCTGTGCCCTGGGCTCGTGGCGAGTAGACTGCCTCGACTGCCCTCCAGCACCTGGGATCCAAGCGCCTGACGCCGCGTTGGTTCGTTCGCCGAGTACAATGCCTCCTATATCGGGTGTCCTTCTTTAAAACACCGCCTACCTCCGTCCTCAACTATCCCCTTCAAGCCGACGAGGCTGCCTGTCTCTCTCTCTCTCTCTCTCGTTCTCTCTTTCTCTCTCTCTCTCTCTCTCTCTCTCTCTCTCTCGCTCGCTTTTACGAGGACACGCTCCGCTCTCCTAGCCAGGTAGTGGCCAGTGATTCTCATCCCAGGTGAATGGTCCCACAGTTGAGTATATAGATATGGTATTTATGAAGAACTTGATTCGATTATGGACCTCTCAGACTCGCCTGCGAGTTCGAACGAGATTTCTTTATCTTTAACCTTTGACGATTTTAATCAGGGATTTGCTCATCGACGAAATGGAGAGAACAAATGATGCTTGGCTTGAAATGGAGTCAAAGAAATATCGCAAATACGTATCGATTAAGTGTCTCTCTTCGATTTTAATTAAACTTTTTATCATTCTTTTGGTTTCTTATTTTTACATTGCAAAAGCTATGCTTATTATAAAGATAAGGGTATTGTAAAATTATGTAATACTTTTATTTTGCGTTAATCACTTTTTCAAAGTAGAAAAGATTTTACAAAGAAAACTTTTTCACAAAACGTATTATGATTTCTCGGTATTATTCTTATTTATTTCGTAGATACAATCAGACCAAAAGATAGAAAATTGCACCATCAGGCAGAATTGTAAATAGATACGCAGAATGGAATAATTCGTTTTTCGTTAATGCACTCCAGGATGCAAATGCATGTTCTGTCGTCTCGAAGTTTGAAACAGACAATTCTCTGGAAGTTACCAACGCTCTCCCGTTTACCAGTTTACATATAATTTGATGTTATGATTTAATTCCTAACTCTTACTGCTCTTGTTATCCGAGTCCCCATACTTTTTGAAGCTGTATCTTGAAACAACTGTAGCATTACTGGGATCTTTGCACAAAATAAACTTTGAAACTTAAAGCGCGGAAACTTATGCAAAAATGCATCAGAAAAACGAGTATCGCATTTGATAAAATATTCCGTTCCCAATTTATTGATTAGATGGGCAAAGCGTAACTCGAAAAGTGGAACTTCAAGCGGACTCGCATTATCGAAAGAACTACGACTGCATACAGTTGTTTCGGGCGCAGCTAAAATTAGCGCGAAACGGCATAAAAAGCCCCGTTAACTCGAAAGCCGGACATTGCAGTTCAGCCGGCCGAGCTGCATGTTATTGATCCTGTAAGTTGTGCCCTTTGTATCGCAGAAACGTTGCTAAAGTGGACAAAGGTGGCCGGTGGTGCACGCGGTTCCTTGATCAATGCAGAATGAATTAATTTTAGACCCCGGAGAAGTCTAGAGAGGAGAAGTTGAGCCGCATCTGTGTGTACGCGGTGTATCTGTCAAGGAAAGTCGATATAACTTCGGTGACTTCCAGACTCCGTGTTGTAACGTACGAAAGTGCAACATCGCTCGACGTATCTACCATGATGTTTATATTATTACGTTATTCACATTATGCGTTATAAAGTTTATAATTAAATATAAGAAGGAAATATAAGAAGCGTCATCAACTTGGAGCGTTTTTATATCACAGCGGTGAAAAAATGTTGTAAAATATTGTTTTGTATGAATATTGTTTAGTATATTTTCTTTTCTTTTTAATAATTATTCTGTACGAACTTTTAAACGTGCAATTCCATCGTAAACCCGTAATAAAAAAAGGTGTGTTAATCAAAATCTTTATTTTCTTTTAAATATTGTTATAATAAGCTACTTAATATACTTATATTTCATTTAATATTTTGTTTGATTTCTTTTTTTTTCAGAAAATTGTGAAATCTATATCCATAATGTTCTCAAATACTAATAAATTGAAAAACAATTAATAATATATGATATGTTAAATAAAAAAGATCGGATAACGGTATAATGAGACAACTAGAAAAGTGAAAAATGAGGAAAGTAAAGTAAGTAAAATCGAGATTAAAATTCTGCAATGAAAACGAAAATAATGCCTGTTTCTGCCAATGTAGATTAACTTTAATCTTGATTCAATTTGATCTTCATCTTTTTCTAATTATTAGAGAGAAAAAGATCGAGAATTAGTTGAATCAAGATTAAAATTAAAGCTACATTAGAAGCAGGCGTAAGTGTGAAAGATTTGATCGACCAAAATTATACCGACAAATCCCTCGGCAACTCGTTCCATTTACGTGACATTTCCTCCGCTGTGGTGATATAAATTCTAAATACTCCGACCTTGGCGACGTGCTTGTATTTGGCGTATCGAATTTTCACGAGGGCAGTCATCGAAGGTGGACGCTTATGGATCCACGCTCATAATTCAAGAGGCTGTCGGCGGCAGGATGGCGCGGCGGCATGGCGGCAGAAAGGCAGCATTTTTTATTTAGATACTCAGCGCGGAATAACGAGATCGTCTTTCAGCGAGAAGTGAAAAGAAAAGTCCCGAGCATGTGACGACGAGGGACAAAACGAATGGACACGATAACGAACACGGTAGAAGAAAAGGGTGGAAGGGTATAACAACGGGGTGATTTTTCCGTCGCAACGTATGTACGTACAGCCCCAGATTTTGACGGGAATAATCCGAGAAAAAATTCTAAGCGCTGGTGAAAAAGAATACTCGAAATAACTGTGCAGTCGTGAATTTATTGCGAAATGTCCAGAGACTGTAAATGTCCGACGAACAAAAAACTGTCTGGAATATTAAAATAGATTTCAGTGAGTCGACACTGCGATTAATACAAAATGTCTCATAAAACACTTTATTAATAATTTTTTGTACCTTCTTGTTTCTCGTTTTATCTAATTTTACAATATATTTTATTTAATCAATTGAAACAAATGTATTTATTTTGAAAAGTACTGATTTCGGAAATAAATTTGAACAAACGCGTTTATTAAAAATTAAAAACGCTGATTAAGGAAATGGAAAATAAAATTTTATCCAACTTAATTTGTCTGTCTAGGAAAAATTTAAATAGCTATAAAACTCTTGAAAGACTGTGAAACAATACACTTATTACGCAACGTGACGCCAGGAAAAACGACTCTTTTATCCTTCCTCTTCTCAATTTACTGACATATTTTATATCCACTAAAACTTCTTGCTATGCAGAGTTACGTAGATGTACAAGGCGAAATGTAAATGTGCCACATAAAATTTATAACGCGAGATGATTAGCATATCACCATTGATTCGTGCACATTAAGCAGCGATGACAATGCTCGCGAGATCCATAAAACCAGATAATCAAAGTTTATTCAGCCAGATGAAATAACATTAACGATTCCGCAATAATGATACGACAATCCGCTCTATTTACTGATTAATCACGGTGTTATCATTTTCGTTGGACATGAAGGTCACAAAAATATAAAATGAATTCGAATAATTTTATCCAATAGGCTTTATTTATGATGTCATGGATGAAGCCTACTGGATGAAACATCAGATTAAACTTAACCATAAGTTAACCAGATAACAAAAAAACCAGGCCATGGAAGTCCATTCTTTATTGGCTGAATTAGTACTTATATTTGTTGTACTTAAAATGAAATAGACATATACTTGAAGTTTGACGTAAGCGAAATAAAAAGTTTTAATGTAGTCCAGTCCAATAGCAAAGAACTCGCTTTAGACTTCAGGGAAAAGAGTGAAAGGTGTCAGTTGTAGCTTTGTGTCTCGACATTCTCTTATATTGCGAACGACATGCACTTCGCCGGAGGCAGATGGTACGAATTCAGTGACATTGAGAAAACAGCTCGGCCGTCCATCACCCTTCGCTGCGACGAACTGTACAGCTGCATCTCCGGAGGGCACAGAACAACTGTAGTGTGCGCCATGCTGAACGTAGATAGAATTTACGCAGTAAGATTTCTGGTAGCCCCCCTGGCTCGCCGGACGGGAAGCCATTTAGATGTGTCGACTAAAAGGGTCCAAGTGTTTATCTCATATCTCTTATCCCTCTGCGCCCTCATATAATATTCCACATCGGTTTTCGTGCAAAGTAAATAAATTATATGAAGTGTGTGCCGTACACTGTATACTATAATATTTACATCTTGTTCTTCGTTTCTTCATTGTCTCATTTCACGTATCGTTCACTTGACTTTCGAGCATGTATCGCGTATACACAAAAGATCATGGCTATTCCGATTATTCCGGTTCGCCTCCGTCCCTCATACTTTCCTTACATCATATTTTTATCCAATTAATAATTTCTCGAGCGCTGTAAGCACCGCGCGAATTATGCAAATCACCGGCTGCTCTAAATATTTAAATTATTCCGTTTCTCCCGTTTCTCTTTCACTACGTATCTTCGCATCCATCTCTCGATCTCTCAAAGATCTCGCAAAGAAGGCAAAAGCGTCGGTTATTCTGAATATTTACATCATTTATCGCATTTTACATCATTTCCTCATCCTCACGCACCATCCGCTTCCAGGAAGCGCTGAAGTTATTCGTTATACTATTATATATACATTCCGTTTCTTATTCCTCTTACATACTTATACTTCTTCCGTGTCTCGGAATAGTGGATTACACTCGGAACAGTGGAGTCGTGTGGCACCCTACGTGTTTGCCCCTCGTTTTACCACTCCTCGCCCTTCGTCCCTCTTCTCGTCCACCCGGATCCCCTCGTGCACATGGCACGCGGTATCGCGACGGATCCGCTCGGGCGCAGACGCGCGACGGCCGCGGGGCGGTCGTCGTCATCGCCGTCGCCGTCGCCGTTGCCGTCGCCGTCGCCGTCGCCGTCGAGAAACCGGCTGCACCGGAACGCTCGACGCTCGTCCGCGGCGCACTCGTGCGCCGACCGCGACCGCGAACGCGGTACGTCCGGGATCCTCTCCTCTCTTTCGTTCCGGAGTGCTTCCGGAAAAACGCACGCAGCTTCCGCACGCGTTATTGGAGGGTTTCTCACCCTCGTTTCGGTGTGCCCCGGGTGTGTCCAGGAGGTGCCGACGAGGATCGCGGCTGAAACAATCACGCGGCGAGACTCGGTCGACCTCGACATCGGACGCGGGAAATATATTCAGTGTTGTAGTCGTGTCGACGCGGCCGAAATTCGTTCGATGCTGGAGAAGACATATCGGTATTCCGTTTAAGAAAATGTTGATGTCTTTTTAAGCGATTCGCTTGAACTACTTGATGTATCGATTGTCTTTTCTGTTTCTATTATTGTCTTCAGTTTATCGTCATAATGTTATTATGTTTGAGTTCGCATTGATTACTTTGAAATTGCTGTTGTTGTGTATATCATCGAAAAGGTTGTTTTATATCACAGTTGCCTATGTTGTTCTGTTTAAATAATTGAAAAGCGAAAGTTTCCATATAGTTTCATACTGCATAGATTTTAATTAGGCGAGTTGCATGGTTGTTGCACCAAACGGCACTAATGTGTTTAGGAAATCGCTCGCGACTTTGTTGCACGTGTTACGTTAGCAGGATCCAAAATAGTTCCATTACTATTTCATTTAGAAGCACTGTCGATGTTAACATGGGAATGTTACATGGAAATGTTTAGTGATGATATATTATAACTGGGATGTTATTGATAATTTCACTGTTAATTTATGGGTGTTTCAATAAATTAGGAATTGATAGTTGTGTATCAAAAGATTTAATGGGAATTTAATATCTCTCGTTGTCTCTTTAATTTTTAAACAGCTGATACTATCAAAAATTTCTACCTTATATTGTAGAAATATAAAAACTTTATATTTCTATCTAGAGTTTTGTGTCCGAGCCAAGTTTAAAAATAACGTTCCTATAAGAAACTTTGAGGCTTCATATAATTTTAAGTAGTTTTAGTAATTAAAGCTATAGTCGAGGGAAAATTAACTGCTTTACAAAGAAATCATTGTCATTATATTTGTATAAAGATCGCAGATAGTAGCACAAATAGAACTGGTATATTTCAATATATACATATTTGTTCTGTAAATTTGCTTCCATTACGTTCCGTTTGACATCGAAATGCAGACAGACTACTATCAAGGAATAAAATCGCTATTACGTTACATACTCGTAAGATGCGAGTCTGTTTGTCGTACAAGATTTATGTCAACAAGATTTATCCAACTGGAAGATTAAATCGCACAATACGAAAATTTAATCCTAAAGTAATAGATTTTCTCGGCAATTGGTACTGCAATTAATTATGAAAATTAATTATGAAAAGTAATACAGGCAGCTGTGCATATTTCATACAAAATTAAATAGCCATACATATTTCATATCTCTTGTAATTTAAATCGTTCTCGTTGTCAAAATACATATATATTTCTTATTTATATAGAGTTTATACAAAATTTAACATTACAGAAATTGAATTTACGAAGTGCGTGTTTCATTCGCAATTCCGGAATTGCAACAACGGAATGCTAGACTATTATTGCGATACCTTGTCGAAGGGCTTTTGTCCGAAATAGTCGAAACATCAAAAAAAAAGGAACGCGTTATAGAGCTGCGTAACCGGATGCTTTGAAATATTTTATTTGTTGAGCGGACTTTGAAACGTCTGTTTGAAGTACAACTCTGTGACTCGATTCCGCTTCGGAGAATGGAGCGCATTGTAATTGAGGCAAGCCACTTCGATGTGGAAGTGCCCGCTCTCTTGTTTGCAAGTTATAAACACTCCTTCCTAACTTTGGTCTCATAGATTTCGATGTTTACCGTAGCATGAGTTGCATAAAGGACGAAAGTGTGCTTCCCGCGTCTTTCGTCTATGTCATTCACAAAATATTGCTTCCAACGGCACAAACAAAAGGTATCTAGAAACGTAGAAAAGACATCTAAAAATTAGAACATCTTTTGGATGTTTTCAATGTCTCATTGCAAAAAACGGCATAAAAAAAAATCTCTTATTTTTAAAATGGATCACAACAATGTGTGTTATAGTACATTCGTGAAAAGCCAATATGACATGTGACATATTAGTTTTATTTGTGTAATATGTAATTTATGCATTTTATCTAAGCCATGGAAGATCCAACATGAAAATATTTGGTGTTCATTGTTCCTCTCTCGATGTTTCTGCAGATTCAGTTTTGAATTATGAATATTTTCGCAAATTGCGTTGTTAGACTTGAAATGATCTTTTTCTCTTTCTATTGGATAATATATTAGGTGTTGGAATTAATTCGTAGCGTTTTACAAGTGATGGGAAGTACTTTCATTAATGTATTTTTTAATGCTCATGTGAAATAAATAACATTCTTTCATTAAAAAACGCTACGAATTAATTCCAACACCTAATATATATATAAAAATAATTTTTTATTCGAGATATTAAAATAGAATTTCAGATATCAACATTTTTAACCTCTCAGAATTGACTCTTCAAAATCTATAACACAGTTACGCTAGATCTATAAAATCCTTTCAATTTGTATTAATTAAAAGGTATTAATTATTTTCAAAGAATCAACATGACATATAAAAAAGAATGATATGATAAAGAATATTTTAAAAGTACTAAGTATATTTTAAAAATATTAAATACATTTTAAAAATAATCCAAATTTACAAATGCAACATAAAAAAAATTTAATTGTTTGACATTCTTAACAAAGATATTTATAATTGAATGAGTCTAACAGACCCACTGACAAGTTAAATATAAAGTTTATTTAATAATTTCTTCTCAAAGTTTACTTTAACTCTACAATTTCTATTAGAACATGGAATAAAATTCTATTTATAATTCTGACTGCCGTGCAGCGCAAAAAATATTTAAAAATCAGAAATATGCGTATATACATGTATAATATTTATTAAAATAAACGTATGCGAAATGTAAATAATACTCTAACCTAAAATCTGATACGAATTTTATAGATCGCATAAAATTTTGTGAATATTATTACTTAATATGTATATTTGTATTTTAATGTATGTAATAATTGTGATACCTACACATATTTTATATATAGATGCATATATTTTATATAGATACATACATTCATACATGTGCTATGTGCAACACATAAAATATGTGACCGATTGGATGTGGAATATGAAATGAAGATCCGTAGGTATTATTTATGGATCTCAATTTGCACCTTTAACGCGGAAACATTACAACTTTCATTATGAAATTACCTAGGACGATAAACTCTTCAATGCAATACGGAGAAAAAGTTACGATTACTACTACAATCGAATAATTGTGATAATTTTCGCCCATCAATACAAAAGAGTTACAGGGATTATAGTGCTATGAAAATGACTTATCTGATCCATCCTTAGCAATGATATTTGTTATAGATGTTATAATCGTAATGATTAGCTATAGTTTAGCTATAGTTTCGATATACTGCAAACATTTTATCGACCAGGTTATTAATCGTGTAATTTTTTTTCTAGGGCGGAAATCTGAAAAGTGAAAATTTTTTGTATGTTATGTCATATGTACATAGATACATATATATATAAAAATTTTCATTTTTCACGTTTCCGCTCTAAAGAAAAAGTTACATGATCGATACCCTGATAAATCATAACTTAAAAATGCTTTTGAACGTTATCTTACTTTTGAAAATCGGAATTAAGCCTCAAATTCTATATATATAATACTTTGAAGATAAAATTCGCAAATTCATTCACTTCATTCACGATAGGAGTTTGATATCCTCAGTTAGAGCGCATACACAACAACAAGCTGAAATTGTCGATTACTAGCACGATGGCTGTCTGAACATGCCCTTAAGATATGCACAATAAAACACTTTATTTATAATGAAAAGATTTTTACAGGTCTTCGCGAGTTTTGGCGTGGGTGGCAATAATATTAATTATAACAAGTTGGGAACAGCAACCATTAATCTATTGTATTGTAACCATATACCTATACATCTCTCAATAAACTATTTGCTTTGGGAACCACATTCAGAGATAGCAATAATTATTCGGTTGGGTCAACCATATATTCGGATATTCCAATCGAACATTACTTATCGATAAAACTACGTTGTGATAACCGTATAGGTGGACACATCTATCAATGTAATTTGAATTCACATAAATTTCTTTTCCAAACATAGAGAATATTATAGTAACTCTTTCCGTGCAAATCTTTATATAGCAATTCTTTCCGTGAAGGAAATTCTCCTGGGCGTAAAATAGCGCATCTACTTTTCACCGTACGAATACAGTTCACACGGAGCTTATACCTGCTCATCGAAACGTACTGTTTAACATACAGTGTGCCACGTAATTGAATTCGGCATCTTCGTGTCGTTAGAAGACAAGTTTGTCAAATCCGCATTACATGGACGTGTAAATCGGATTTGATGTCAGTTGCAAAGTAATTCGTGAAACTTTATTAAGGCGTTCACGTTCAACGAGTTGAATAAGCAAAGGACCCCGCACTAATTATATGGAAAACTGGATTATATGGAACGATGAAATAAATTAGTTTTCACATATGAAGGATTGAAAGCCATAGTAATACAAGTTAATTATGATTTTGAGAAACAAAAGGTTTCTTCAACATTTACTTCATTAGACTATACCAATAACCTCAAGTCGATAGCTTCAAAAAAGTGGCTTATATCTCTTTCACCCCTTCATATGTTATAATTTATAAATATGATGAAAATGTGACAAAAATGTTATATATAATATGGCTCAGATGATAGATAGTTCTTGAGTTATGGTGTACCGAAAGTAAAACTTTTGTTCACGAAGCACATTATAATATAACAATTAATACGGATCTCTCCCTTTTCCGTCGTTCTTTTCTCCGTCATACACGATAATAAATGATACACGTTTTTTTATCGGCACTTATTCGTAAAGTTCGGACTCTACCTTTGGAGATAACAAGTCGAAAGTCGTTCGAGTGGAGATCAAAGATCGTTTAGCGGATTTTTTTATTCAATTTTTAACGGGAGCAGTTAAAATTCGCCTCGAGCTCGCGTTAAACGTCGAAATGTATATTGTCAAATAAAAGGAAATATCTTTTTTAAAGGAAATATCGTTTAACACAAAAGTTGTTATTCAAACTGCAGCGTTTCCAAGCCATATTGTGCGATTATTGATGTTAAAAGGTCACGTGAGTACAACGGAACTCACTCTCGCAAAGCTTACTTGTAAATTAGTATGCAAATTAAATAAAGTGGATGGAGTAACAAGAGTGAACCTTTGACATTTCAAAACTCATTTAATTAACAATAATTTAGTGATAATCGGAGAGCTTTGGATATTATATCCAATTACGGATAATGACGCTAAGTGATATTCTCGAAATTTATAGAATTGTCATTTCCATTTTTATATTTTTCAATGTTTTACTGACAGATATTAGTATTTCTTAATAGAGCTATTTTTTCTTCGTTTTGAGTTTATCTCTTAAAGAGTTTTTTCCCTTGTATTTGACATGTAACGTCGAACATGACGATGTTTTGTTAAAACACACGCCACCACGTTCCTTTTATTGATAAAACATGATGGTAAAGTAAGCATGATGGATGAATAGATGATGTATGTCTCGACAAATGTGTATTCCGAACTAACATCACCAGTTGAGATTGAACGAAAATGTCGAGATATGTACACGAGGAAGATTCATTCACTCTAACGTTTATTCGACAACCTCGATGTTGCCGACGATAAGAAAACTCTGTCATGGGAGAAGTTTGCCTATCTGTAATGGAAAGTTTTCTTCGGCGTTTTTGTTCGGAGGCTGCGGAAAAACTTTTTACATTCTTTTATGAACGCTCTAAATGTTAATTTTTGTTTCCTTGAAATAAAAGAAAAAATAAAAACTTATCCTCAGTTGCAAACCTGCAATCAGTCTACAGTCGCGGGGATTAAACGATAATAATTTTCCGATATCCATCAGACTTTAATTTTTTTCTACATTTTTTCATAATCCAAATTCCTTCTGCAGATGAAATTATAGTCCAATTATGAATAGCAACATATTATGAATACAAATGATGACGTGATTCTGCTTGTAAGTGACGTTTTAGCATTTTCATATGTTAAAATCAAGAGGCCAAGAAATAATTTCGTTAATACGCTGTATTATTATTGTCAATATTGATCATATCGAGATTATATCTGTTTGTCTGACGAATAAAGGGAAAGTGAAATGAGAATGGATGGCGATGTCCTAATCTCAAAAAGCTATTACGGTTCTGTCGCGACTCGTTTATCTAATGACGGGTTGTGGTAAGGATACTTCGCAAGACATAGTACACATGAGTGGCCCTGCATGCATCAAGTAATATGAAACACGCCGACACCGAAGCTTCAGCATCACACATAACACCTCGAAGAACCCATGTGTAATGGCGCGAACGGCGTCACGTTCCCCGTTCCGACATGTCTCTTACGATATAAATTTAATATCCTCGCACTCGTCGCTAAATTCGATCTCGAGTACTTTTTCGCGTACCTTTCCCGTATACGACGATCCTAATAAGCTCGATTCATCTTCGGCGGATATAATATGACATTTCTTCGTTGTAGCGATAATCATATCTGGACCCTTCCAAAAGGAAAGAAAGTTTTGCCTTGGTACACGATCTTTATACGAGTACGACGAGTATAATATAAATTCATGACTTCGTATTATTAATAGTTATTTGAAATTTTATTATTACACAATCGTATGATATAACTATATTACAAATTTATAACTAATAGATTATTAATTTAACTATTTAACTAGAACTATTAATTAAAATTTAATTATTATCTAAAATTATACAATAATTGCAGATATTATATAATATTTTAGTTATTACATAATTAAATTAGTAATTTAAAAGCTACTTGGCATTGTATATATATTTCATTCTTTCCGAATAATTATATTGTTCTTTTTGACGCGAGAACTTCTTTTATCTTCTTCCATTCTTCCATCGAAGCAACTGATTTTATAGCAGGCTTGTTTAGTGCATCCGCAATTGAACGCGTTGCTCATTATCGCATTTAATATTACCCAGTTAAAATAATCATGCTCTGTATTAAAAGGTAATGAAGCGTGTTTCGAGCGTGGCTGTAACTGGGTCGAAGATGAAGATCCATAATCGAGCATGTAAATAATCAAGTACGCGTGTATAACATGTGCGTATGACACATGGACCTCCATTCGTGCTGCAATGCCTGCAATTTCGGATGGCAGTTACCTATACGTCAACGTTTGTTACTCGTGCTAACTAATCAACGTTGTTAATTGACGCCGATGCTACGCGTTCCGTTCGCTGAATCACACACAGAAATCCGCAGATTAATACAATGTTACGAAGAGAGGACCCGTTGTCTCGTTGACAGACAGAAACAAGCGATTGTTCGTGCTCAATCGAAACTACTTACGAGAATGCTCCAGAATTCATTCATACGAAAGAGCCCTCCATTGTCATTCGATAGGAATAGCTTCAGCATTTTGAAAACCAGGCTGCATCGCCGTTACTGTAGATCCTTTTCTTCATTTTTACATTTTTTGTTATCCGTATGCAAATACTTTCTTTCATTTATTTTCGATGACGCATGAAAAGTTTTTTAACATTTTTTTATGCTTTTTAAAAATGATAAGAAAATATGGGTTTTTATTCTCATGTGTTATTACACTATTAAATTTGTAATGTCGAATTATACCTAATTTAAGTTATATTTAATTTAATTTCATTCTATAGATCGTTTCTGTCATTAATTTTACTAAAAACAGAGTAGAGTTAAATATTTTAACAAGAAAAATGTATTAAATTTTATTCAAATTTAATTTATTATTTACTAAGTGCCGTTATAATATGAACGTCATTTATCTTGAAACTAACTATAAAAATAGATCGATTTACACATATAGAAGTTAAAAATAACAAAATATTATTTTTATTTAACTCAAAGGGTTGGATTATCATTACTCCTTTGATATCTAATCATAAATCGCTCTTGTTGGCATATTTAATATTAAAGGTCATGTTTCTAAAAACTACAATCAGGTTTAATTAGGTAAGCCTCGTCTTCCAATCAATCCAGCATACCCACTAATTTGACAACACCTCGTATATATCGTCCATCGCATCACAGTTCATTACTCTGTTGTTTCACCCGAAACCAATTAAAGTGACAAGGATTAATCACAGGAATACATCTGTTACAGGGATCAGTAGTCGTTGACGTTCACGTCGTAAGACTCGATGTGCTACGAGCAAATGTCACGCATTGTCGTCTCAGGGATCATCGACGGTGCCTGCAATTATCCCGCACGTTAGCGCGACCCGTTAATTAAGCCGCTCGAATCAGCAGCGGCAGGCCGCTGCTAATTAACGCCGGTGTTCATCCCGCCACCCCCAACCTGACCGAAGGACATCGCCTGGATCAGCGACTGACGGATTAAACGAGACCGATCGTGGAAGATGATGCACGTCGTCCGATGAAGGTGGGACCGCCTGATGAGGCGTCGCGGCGCCGTGACAATGCGGAAATATGAGACTTCCCGAGCCGACCGGATCTCACCGTCGTCTTCGTCGGCAGTACGCTTGCACCGATGCGACTTACAACGGTCGCCGACGAATACGTCCGACGTCCATTGAGAAAAAATGGGTGCCAATCAATCGACCCGGAGCGCGCCCACCCCCGGAGAAGAAGGTAATACCGTCTGGGTTGAGAGATGGAGAACGTGCGAATTTTTTATGAACTACTGGGTACGTTACGCGGAAATGCCGAGAATTGGCTCTCGGTTACGTACATTACACACACACACACACACACACACACACACACACACCATGCGGTAGAATCCGATATTTTATGAAGTAACGGAAAGAATAGACGCAACTTTCGACTTCAAACACGTTCAAAGAATAATTTAGCTCTCTATTCTTGAAGAATTTTTTTTCTACTTTCTGTGAAGAAAAATATACAAAGTAACGTTAACATAGTTTTCAAGTAACTAAGTTATCAATAAAACTATTCTTTTATTGCGATCTCCTTATAGCATTTATCTAAATTTAACTGACGGAGAAATTAATTTTCACGCTAAAAATAGCAGTTTGCTGATCGAGGCAACTGAGTAGAAGCTGGATTAATAATAATTATATAACAGAGATAAAAAAAAAAGATATGTTGAAGTAAATTACTTTCTGTAGACCTTGATTCTGATTGGGGGGGGGGGGGGAATTACTTTTATAGCAAGAATTAAAATGTCCTTGATTTATATTTATTATTAAGACATTATTAAATACGTAAATATTAGAAAGGGATGCCATTCCGAATTATAACGCTCCGCTTGGCATCGTATAATTCGCATAACTTGAATTATTGCTCGAACGGATACGCATCGACGACTTGCATCGTTTCACGGGAGATCACCTTATTCTATCATGTTTATACCTCGCTGAGATCGTAAGCTCTCACGGTATAACTCACAAAATACGCGATACGGCGTGACGTCGCGTGGAAATGTTCGCCTACGATTCGATTACAGAATATCGAGCTGTTGCTGAAGCTATTAATAAATCTTTTCTGTCGGTTGTATCGACGGTCCCACGGATATTTAATTTCGTCTGGAAAAATCCAATATTCAATCCTATTGTAATTAAATTTCTAGAAAGAAGTGCCTCCTCCACAATTCTTTCTCTGCGTGATTCCTATTTAACTTCTGTGACGAATATTAAAAATACAGATTTTATCTTCTCATACCTAACAAGTCAGTCAATAACTTTCAAACAAGGTCTCATTTTTATTTTTAATATATTTATATTTTATGGAATTCTATTTATATGTTTTATACAATTTTATTGCATTCGGCTTTTTTTTTAATATATACTTACTTATAAATAAATATAATTTCTGTAACTTCTATAATAAACATAATTTAATCATCAGTATACGAGTTAATAATCCGATTTATTTTCAAAACTGCATATTTTTTACTGATCCCTTTTTACTTATTGCAAAATATCTTTTACGCTACGACTGCTTGACTTTCTTGTTTGAGAAATTTTTTTTCTGTCTTTAAACAGTCGATTTAAAAAAAGATTAATTAAAATCGATGCATTACAACTCGAGACACAAGCAAAAGAAAATGCCGAGTATAAAATACCGTTGTGTATACATAGAGATTTGTTTGGGTTGTGTATATTGAGAATTAATATTATATTGTCTTATTAGGGAGTTTTTACAATAATGTGAATCCAGATACAGTGAACGCTAAAATCACATTATCTTTTTCTTAATTAATTGTTAAGAAGGAGATAACCTGATCTTAGCGTTCATCTGGGTAACAATATTGCAAAAACTCTCTAATATTTTTAAATTTCTTTAAAACTTTATTAATATTAAGATGTACTGTTAAAAGACCCTATTCTTATTTTTGCGTTGGGATTCGCAGGAACCCTGCTTCAAACTTGATTAACTTTATCGTGGTGAGAACATAATTCCCACGCAAGACAAATCTGGAGAAGATTAAACTCGAAATTCTCAAGTTGTTTGAGCCTCTCCGGGTTATGCGGTTTGGTTATTTCGGGAAAATCGGAACTGCGTATTCATGCAATATAAATTGTGTGTTTATACATTCATCGAGATCAATCCCTGTGAGGATATGTAGTTTATGCATGCTTTTGATGCTGTAGTTTGTAAATACTCCGAAATTTTTCACGGAAGTGATAAATTTTCCAAACAAATCTCTGCCAAAAACTGCGATTTCCGCGTTTACTGAAGCGATAGTTCAATTAACAATCACATTTCACACAATCGCGGTAGTTTAATTAACAATTACAATCACGAGTTACTATCTGATAAAACACCTTTATGTTTCGTATAAAGAGAACAAACACTAGCAATTTAGAAATTGACTACTGATGAAACTAATGTCAATACTAACGAGAATCAATCCCGATTAACGCCGAGTTTAATCCGGGAATAATCACTTGGGGTGTTTTTGTACCGTAATGGCGAATAAAATGTGAATTGTTATAAAATGGATATGGTTTTGTTTTTGTTTACATTCTCTCTTTTTTTTAATAATTATTCTTTACAAATTATTCTTTAAATATGCAATTCCATCGAAAATTCGCAATAAAAAAGCATTATATTAATAAAATGATTATTTTATAAAAACATTATCATAATGGAATAAGCTAACATGCTTCCATTCAATGTATTTGTTTGATTTCTACTTACTTTTTTCAGAAAATTCTGATTAAATTTATGTCCATAATGTTTTCAAATGCCAATAAAGCGGAAAACAATCAATAATATATAATATCTGTTTGGTTTTTATTTTTTTTTCAGAAAATTCTGAGTAAATTCATATTCATAATGTTCTCAAATGTCAATAAATCAAAAACAATCAATAATATACAATATTTGTTTAATTTCTATTTTTTTCAGGAAATTGTGAGAAAATCCATATCCATAATGTTTTCAAGCATATGCCAATAAATTGGAAAACAAGCAATAATATTTAGTACCTTATTAATAATAGTAATTTTAATTGGGATATAAAACACCTCAGATGAGAGAGAGATCATTTATTAAAAAATGAGATGACTAATCTCGAGTTAATGTTTTACAAAAATATGAATACGTAATAATTTTGCGAACCATTACGATTATTCATCCCAATCGCACTTCGATAGAAGGGGAGTCAATATGTTACCCACCGTTAAATTCGTCATTTCGCATTACCTCAATTGATTCACATTTCTCTGTTGCAGTGAATTTCGATCATTTTCAAATCCTACGCGCAATTGGGAAAGGCAGCTTCGGCAAGGTACGTCGTTATTTTGCCAAATCACGAAGGGGTGCTTACATACCGTTATAAAGCGAACATTTTCGTGGCCCTTGTTTGCGAGTTCGACGATTTTAGAGTCGGTCCAGACTGCGGTTTCCCGTTTATCCTGGCAGGAATCCCTGCAGTCCATATTATTTTTTTTGTATTTACATATATGGTAACAAGCACACTGTTCTCTGCGGTCTCACTAATGTATTGAATCGTGAATTCGTAATTTACATGTCGCTTTCCAGCCGCACGGAAACCGCATTTTAAACTTCGGGAATGAATAGTAGGATTTCTGTCTTCTTATTATTAACAAAGTTCAGTTTCTTTTGAGTCGCGCGAATCGTACATAGTCCATTAATTACTTTTCGAACTCGTAAATATATTATTTGAAGAACGGCACGTGGGCCAACAGACACACATTTATCGTTCAGTAACGTAGAGCACGGCAAACGCGAATTGCATTTATGCCGCTATAAAATGCGTTACGCTTTCGATCGTAAAAAAAAGCGCGTCCCACGTCGCTTTTATATCTATCAGTAAGGTCATTGCGAAAATTTCGAAACTCGTTCCCTCACTTTTTATGGGCTAGAGCAAGTACGCGATGCTTCTCATTCTTGAATAAACATAAAAATGTAAGAATTAAATGTTTATAATAGACAATCGCAGTCATTTGCTACTTGAAATTGTTTTTAATTTATACCAGATTTTTTTACAGAGAAACTGTAGTATACGGGACGTTTTCTTTCGAATAACACAGTAGCGATGCAAGAACGAAATATAGTAAATATCAACGTTACAGTTATTATTCTGCAGAATTAAATATTCCGCGAATATCGAATTCACCGATTCGAAAAAACTTGTAGACAGTTTTAACGTAGAAGCCACGAATTTGTAGAAATTAAGTTTCGATACAATTGCTGCCTACAGGTCTGCATTGTTCAAAAACGTGACAGTACTGGCAATATGTACGCCATGAAGTACGTACATAAGAACGAATGTGCGGAGCGTGGTGCCCTGAAGAATGTGGCGAGGGAGGTGGAGATCCTGTCGAAGTTAGAGCATCCTTGCTTGGTGAATTTATGGTTCAGCTTCCAAGGTAAGTAGGTTTTTGAGACATCGATCACACTCAGTCATTTTTCTAATCTCATGGAAAACGCATAAAATATACAAAGATGTTCTTAAAGTCATGGAAGAATTTTTTCGTAAATTCTGTATTACTTAATTCTACCATTTCGTCTCTGTTTCGTTGGCGATTTGAAAAATAATAACATTACAATATTTTTGTTAAAAAAAAATTTGAATTATAATCAAAAATAATGAAAATTGAGACTAAAATAGGTTTTTTCATGAAAATAGCTTTTTAACGAAAAATTAACAACAAATTGCTTATAGATACAAGCGAACACTGAAAAAACAATTTATAATGTATGTATTTATAACTATGAATTTTAATGAATGCTGAAATTATAATATTTCGACCGTTATATATTAATATAGTATATAGTATAACAATCGCTTTTCATTGTAATTAATAAAAATCGTGATAATTAACACGATAAATAATTATCGGGCAAATTCTAATTCACGAGAAAACGATCAAAGACAGCAAATCT